ATGGTTTCCTCTGCAGCTCTCTGGAGTTGGGTGTTTTGTAGTTGGAGCACAGATTCAAACCTTTTTTTTTTTTTTAATTTATTACCAGACTAAAAAGTTTCAAACCATCCACTTTAAAAAATATTCAGACAAGGTTAACTGGCCACAAGGAGGGAAGTGCACCAGACATCACATTAGAAAAACAGTTCTCGATCAAAGAGAATACAAAATAATTTGCCTTAACTTTTCTGGTGAAGGATTTTCTGCACAACAACCTCTGAATGATATTTTAACTCAATGCCACCATTCACACAACATGTAGGTGTGTGTTCACATACAGCTACTCTGACACTTCTGGTGACAAAATAGACTCAAGACGTCAACCTCAACCCCAGGTACATGTGCCGACTCATTTTGACATTTTATTTGTATATTGTTTTAATCCGTCAGATCGATGAACTACTCTCCACTCGCTCCTCTGGACCTCTTCGTTCTTGCTGAAGCGCAAAGACAAACAGAAAGAGAGAAACGGGGAAAGAGGGAGATGCTCGTTACTTCAGAAGACGCGTCAGCTTTCAATTTCAGCCGGTGGTCAGTGAAGCTGCTGCCACATGATGAGACAAGTGAGGGAGGAGGCAGAAGCAGCAGGTCCCAGCGTGGTAGGAACAATACGTCACTGAGCAACATTAAATAAACGCAAATGTTGTGTTAAATAAACCTTAAAAGGCTGCACCCATAAAGGCTCATACAACAGGCAAAGGCAAAAAGCCATTTATCACAGATGTTATTGTGTTTAAATGATGTGTTTGTAAGATTGTGCGCTTTACTTCCTGTCTCTGTTCTCAGGTTTGTTTAATCGCACTGCGACCTCTTTAAAACCACCTCCTCCCCCTCCTCCCCCTCCTCCTCCGAGGTTGATGTCTCTGCCCACCCCGGCTAAGAATCCTCAGCTCTACGCGGTGTGAATGGATAAACGGTGGTGTATTCACTGACGGGGGGGGGAGGGGGGGGCAGACTGCTCAGCAAAAGGTGAATGGGCAGGCCAGGCTGTCACGGAGCTAGAGACCTCTCAAATTCTGGCAGATTTTCATAAGAAAAGGCCATTAGTATGAGTGCAACGCCAAGCACAAAAATTGATTTGGCCTTTCGCTCCACAACCTTGAGCACCGACCTTCGAAATACCTGAGGGGGCGACTCACAGTTAAAGAGGAGGGAGGGGGGAGGGAGGGGGGTGAAATTTTGTAATGGAGGACGGGAGCAGCAGTGGAGGGGAAGGGCAGAGAGCGCTGCAATTAGAAAAGGAAGGGGAAATAAACACACTCTCTTGAGGCAAAAGGAGGAAGGAGGTGTTGAGTCTTTCACAAGGACACTTGAACAGGACGTATGGACACACTGTCCAGATCTAATCTCTGACCTTTCATTTGCAGGATGGTGGATTCTCATAAAAGCTGTTTCCTAAGGTCATGATCTTGTTCTCTGTTCAAGCCTCTTTTCATCTCTGCATCTCTCTCTAAAAAAAAAAAAAAACACCTCTATGTCCTCCATCTCTCCTCCTCCTCCTCCTCCTCTCTCTTCATTATTCCTTCCCTAACACTTCACCCCATCCTTCTGGCTTCCCTTTTTTTTTTTGCCCACGCTGTCAACTCCTATTGGCTCTAATAGGAGGCCCCGCAGCTTACAGTGTGACAGACATAATCAGGTTTGGGTGAACAGCTTTCGTCTGCGGGACAAACGGAGAAGGAGGGAGGAAAGACAGAGGAAGAGGTGGAGGCAGAGATGGAGAGGGTGAGAGGAAGATGAGTAGCAGGATTAAAAATAATAATAAATAAGGAGAAGGGGAAGAGGAGGAGGTGGAGGTGGAGGAGGAGGTGTGGAGCATGACTGCAGTGTGGCAGGTGGAGACAGATCAGGAGGAAAAGAGTCAAGAGGAGAGGTGATGAGATGTGATGACAAGCGAAGGAACAGAGGGAAGTATGTGTGAGGAGAGAACAAGAAAAGATCAGAGGAAGAAGAACAGGCTTCCACAGTAGTGGTTACATTATAAAAACTAACCTCCACAGCCTCGTTTTTTATCTGCATCTCCACAAGCTTACATAAGCCGAGCGACTGACCCAGTGGGGTTTCATGTCAACCGTCGCATGAAATATACATCATGTCCCTTTAAATTCCCAGACAGAAAACACACGCCGCACGCCGTGTGCCAGGGAGGCTGAAACTTCTGCAAATAGCCTCTTAGTTCACCCGTGTAAACTGGATAAAAACATTTAAGATGAGTGAAGTTCCTTCCCCAAAAAACACAGCCAGACACACCCTTTGGAAAGAGACAAAATAACTGCTGCTGATGGATCTTTTCGCGATAGCAGTTACATCTTTCCGCAGAGTTTGTGCGTAAATGATCCGGGTCTTCTAATGGCAGTTTCAAGTACGAGTTGTATTTTCATGCTGCTCGTCACTGGGGAATTTGATTGATATGATCTGATGTGATTTGACAGGGGTGGAAGAAAGGAGCAAGGGGAGGAAGGGATAGGGAGGGAGAGATAGGACTTAAAAGCAAAAAAAAAAAGGGGATGGAGGCCAGGAGGAGAGGAGAGGAAGTAAGCAGGCAGGATATGAAAGGCTGGAATGTGATGGAGGGAGATAAGGGAGGAGATGATGATGAGGAGGAGGAGGAGGAGGAGGGTGAGAGAAGATAGGGGGTTTAAAAGTGAACATGTGATGAAGAAAAGGAGAAAAAAGAGGGAGGATGGATAAACAGGAAGGTGGGAGTGATGGTTGGATAGAGGAGACGGAGATGGTGTGAGGAGGGGGAGTGTACGATATTAAAGGAGAAGAAGGGGTGACATGAGGAAAGGAAGGATGGGAGGACGGGGGGGCTGAAACAGATAATGTTGGGTGTGAAAAAAAAAGTGTGTCTGGAACAATCGGGGGAGGGGAGGGGAGGGGAGGGGGGTGATGGAGAAGGATGAGTTCAATTTGTAGCTGGAGGTAAAGTCTGAGAGGGTGGTAGGAGGAGGAGAGGAAGATAGAGGGAATTAATAAGAGAGAAAAGAGGGGGAATAGGTGGGGTTAGGAGACGGAGAGGGAAGAGATAGACAGAGTGTGTGTGTGTGTGTGTGTGTGTGTGTGTGTGTGTGTGGGGCTACATACATTATAGAGAATTGGTCATCGTGGAAAATGCGGTGCAATTAAGAAAAAAAGGGCGTACTGCTCTGAATGGCTTCTGATGCTCGTTGCCTCGGGGCAGGTTTTGAGCGATGGCGCACGCTCGCATAATTTCACTGACATATTTTCTCTTTTTGGGGGGAAAATGGCTCCTTTCTGATTGTTCTTGGAGTTCATCTGGAGTCAACCCACTCATTTAGGCTGAGACACCTCGACAACCCCCCGTCCCTGTCCCCCCGTCCCCCCTCCCGGATACTCGTCTCCAGTCGTCTCCATGTGACTGTAATCATGGGTCGCTGATATGACCTCAAAGTTATATCACGGCATCTTTCTGGATAATGTAAGAGAACATATCTCCACCGATGTGTTTACTGGCTAAAAGAGGGATGGGAATGAGGCCTACATGTGTTATGGGAGGAGCCTGCCCTGTAATGCAGGTTAATGAGTAAATGTAACGTGAGTCAGTGGTAAGAAACCTGCTGCTGTTTCACGCTGTGACTGAACTGTACAGCTGAACAACCTGATCTGAGTGATAAAGAACACCTGGGGGGGGGGGGCTGTTTTTTCTTCACGTTTACGTTTCTGTTGTTTTATAATTTCTACGTTTTGAAATAAAAGTGACACGTCATTTGTGATCTGACAAACAGCACCTGTCACGCCGGGCGGGAATCACATCACACTGAAAGAAAGTGAAATCTGACAGAACATTTTACATCTTCACCCACATGAAGAAAGTTACTCTCGGTGACTCCTGAACACAAGGAGCCAGATACTGCTCTGTAGATCACACAGTATGACAAACCATCAGCCAATCAGGACAAAGGTCTGTCGTCACACAGGTGCTTCCCAGTCGGTGCGGCCGCCCTGCTCGCGCGAGGTTTCAACGTCATGTGACACGGTGACATTCTGTAGCCACGTAAAAATTTCTAACCAGCATGCATCACGTCCGGTCAGCGCTGTGCAGCGACACACGAAGTTGAACGAGCTTGCCTGTTGCCTGGTACGTATCCTGTGTGTGTGTGTGTATGTGTGTGTGTGTATTTTTACTCAGTAATTCCCCTCCCAAACCTAAAAACACCCACCAAAATCTCTGTGGGTTTCTGCGATGGGAGTCGGTTTGTTCATGAGGGATGTGACAGCAGGTTTGACCTCTCCGAACCCTACGTCAATGCTCTACGTCTGCTTCTGGTGCCTTCATCAAATGTGCGGCCAGTTTGTGTCAAAAGGAAGTGTAACCGCTTTGATTCTTTTCTACAGGTTCAGAAGAAAACGATCAGAAGAAAAAAATAGATTTAAAGGGAGAAATTGAATTGACTTTGCCGCAGTGGCGTCTGCGGGACGCCAGACGACGACTAATTTTACCAAAAACACAAGAGCTAATGTGGAAAATATACGGCGGCGAAAAAACAAGCTGGTGATGCTGAGGACTCACCTTGACGATATCACCCAGGTAAACATCCTCCATCTTGTTTGGCACCTTCATCTGAAAGATTCGACCCACCACTGCTGAGGAGTCCGGGAAGGCAGTGGGCGCCGCCGTGTTCTGCTGAGTCGCCGCCGTCTCGTCGCTCTGCGCGGCGACGGCGGCCTCCATCGCCCGGATACCTTCCGTCACCTCCTGGAAATTCCGCAGGAGCGAGGACTGCATGGAGGCCTCCAGCTCGCTTCTTCCACCCACACTCTCGCTTCGTTCACCCGCTTCCATTAGCACCATCTCGCCCAGCACGTCGATCTCCACCTCTGCGCACACCGGCGGATGGAGCCAGCCCGCCGCGGCGAGAAGCAAGCCCAGCAGCAAGGCTCTAGTCCTGGGTAGTCTCACATCCAGGCCCCTGCTCGCCCCGAGGCATCCCGAACTTAGTTTATTGTGCATTCTTTTGCCTTTTGTCGGCCTGTCACTGCAAAAAAAAAAAGAAGGAGGAGGATGTCCAAGTCGGAGGGGCGGACTTAGGGGGGAGCATGCACCCCTGACAGATAGAGCAAATCCTTCCTTTCAAATCTCCCTCCCTCCCCTGTCCTTCTCCGCCCACTCTTCTGCCCAAAGGCTCTTCTTCTCGCCTGGCGCCGGGCAAAGAATCTTCCCTCCTTCTTCTGTTCCACCTCCTCCTCCTCTTTTGTCCTCCTTTATTCGGCCTCTTCCCCTTCGGTCTTTTGTGCTCACCCCTCAGAGGTTTAGGAGTCCCATAGCGCCGGGCACCTTTGAGACCTGTAAGGAGACAGAGAAGAGGAGAGAGAGACAGAAGCCACGGTTAGGGGAGTTGCTTGCGGAGAAAATTGCAGCTTCAGTTTCATCCTAAAAAAACGAAACACCTCGACTTTTAAAGAGCCTCGCACTGAATCAAAAGTCAATCCTCTCGATAAGTTCAGACCCTTAAACTGATTCGTGCCACGCAAATCTCATTGTCTATAGAAATCCATCATGAAGGGGGAGGGGGGGTGGTGGTGGTGGGGGGATATTATCAATGCTGTTGGGTAATCTGATTAGTTACTTACAACAATTCTGGCTCTCTCTTCCACCCTCTCTCTTTCTCTCTCTCTCTCTCTCCTCTCATAAGCTCACATATCTTTTCTTTCTTAACTGACGTCAGACTAGAGAATGAAAGAGAGAAGAGGGAGAGAGACGGATGTAAAGAAAGGGAAGTGATGGAGAGAGAGAGAGAGAGTAAGATGGATAGATGGAGGGAGGAAAGAGTGAAGGTGATATACGGTGGGACCTTGGATTAGCCGAACAATGCCGAACCAGTCAAAGCTTTCTTGGAACCGCTAATGAATGCATGCCTTCGCTATTGTGAGAGGGGTCAAACTCAATGTGTGTGTGTGTGTGTGTGTGTGTAGGTGTGAGTGGGGGGAGGATGAAGAGAGAGAGAGAGCGAGTGAGCATGTGTTGATGTGCAAGCTACTGAGTGCGTTTGAGTCTATTGTGAGTGAGGAGGGCTTGTGAGTGAGGGGTTTGTTATTCATTCAGCTCTTTCATGGAGGAGAGGATCCCTGTGTGTGTGTGTGTGTGTGTGTGTGTGTGTGTTTGTGTCACAACACAAATGATTTCCCCTGAGGGCTTTCGTTAGGGAGAGATGGACAGAGAGCAGGAGAAAAAAAAAAAAGAATGATAGAGAATGAGAAAGAAAAGAAGGCAAGAGAGAGACCCCCACTGTGACTCCATTTTGCCCCGTAGCAGATGCCCGCTGGAGAAAGTGAAATCACCGCGGGAATTCCCCCGGCAACAACAACACGGCCTCCCAGGTAGCTTTTGACCAAGTAGAAAAGACTCTTTCTTGCTGCTCCCCTCGCCCTTGCTGCGCTTCACCTTTGGACAAAACTTTGTTTTTAATCACGAGCACCGCTGTGCTGGTTTCCCTGCTGCTACAGCTTTTATCCCAAGAGTCAACTTTCAGGAAGCTTTGACTCAAAATAATGTTCCTTCCTTCCTCTACTACTTTAGTTTTTTTTTTTTTTTTTTTACCTTTTTAGCTTTCGTGAAAGTCAAGATTTTTTTTTTTTTTTTTTTTTTTTTTTCCCCACTCTTTGAATTTTATTTTTCATTGATGTCACCTTGGAATTTACAGAACTATTTACAGCGTTAAACTTTTACCAAGCCCTCTCAAAAGTAGTCCAAGATGGCTGCCAGGGATAAACTCCATCCCTTTCATGTCGACTACCTTCAACTGCATTGCCACGGGCTACATCCCTCCTATTTCCCCTTTCCCCTTATTGCTTTTTCCACTGTTGTTCAGTCTGTCATCTGCTTCCCTTTTCTTTTTAAGGCTTTCACTCATCCTTTCATTGCTTCTCTCCGTCTCTCCTGCTGTCAGGATGTTTTTCTAGTTCTTCTCTTTGTCTTCCATCACTCGCACAGCTTTTCTTTTTCCAAAAAACATTTTCTTGCTTCTTCCTGTCCTCCTTCCTCCAGAGTCCTAAGGTATGCCACACCTTCTCTCTCTCTCTCTCTCTCTCCACTCTCTAAAACTTTCAAGGCCGTTTTTCTCTCTCTCTCTCTCTCTCTCTCTCCCTCTCTCTCCTCCTCGCACTCTCTCACCTATCAAAAACACAGCCCTGTCTATTCATCGCGTGACAATAGGGCTGATGATGGCGGAGGAGTGTCGCTATGAAAGGGCCCGCTGAGCTGTCTGTGCCGCTGGATAAAGAAGCACTGTCATCGCAGAGAATGAGGGACGGACACGCGCACACACACACACACACACACACACACACACTTTACAGAGAAGTAAAGAAAAGGCTGGGAGAGACAAGAAATCTTCCAACTCGAGAGCAGGACAGAAAGCTGTCATTAACTTGACACCTACAGCACCCCCCACCCCCACCCACCCAAAAATGCTCTCCACCCACCTGGCGCCACTGATCACTCTGACACAGATGGAGAGAGAAAGTAGAAGAGTGAAGGTGAAGATCTGTTTGGTTCGAAAAACATCAAAGCATTACCAATAATATTGTGTAATGTGCGAGTGTGTGAGTGTGTGTGTGTGTGTGTCCATCACCCACGGCTAAAAGATCACCATTTAGCCTCGGGGCGCTGAGGCCAATTGTGGGGAGTTGTGTGTGTGTGTGTATGTGTGTGTCAACTGAAACTAGTTCACCGGGTGCCATGGTGACACCTTTGTTCCGAACAGGCACTTAACGATGTCCGTGTGACTCACTCCCTATTGGTCAGGCTTCTTTCGGGAGCCTCTCTCTGCCCTGCAATTACTAAACCAGCGAGTGCTGAGATTTATGGCGTTGGAGGAACTTCCCCACATGTTGATCATGTTTGGGAGCTGAGTGGGCGGGAGCATGGGCAGGGAAAATTAAAAGCCTTATTTATTCTGGCTGCCGAGATGCACTAAACTGCTGCTCGTGGAAATATCCAAGCTTTGCGCCGATGTGATGTCTTTAGGATGACTGATTTATTGATACGGGTCACACAGAGTAACTCTCACTGACACAGCGAGCTGAGCAGTGTGTTCAAAAACTAAATCTTTTCATAATTGTCCGCACGTTATCTTTGCTTCACAAAACCAAGGGTAATTAAATAGGGGGGGGGGGGGGGGGCTTATCAGACTAATAGTGTAGGTGTCTGACTGAATACAAAAGGTAGTGTGTTCACTACAGGAGCTCAAAGTCACTCCCTTACGCTTGGTTTTTATTAATGCAAAAGTTAATGTGAGTTTAAGGTCGATGTTTTCTACTGCTTTTTTTATGTGAGCTGATGATTTTTCTTTCAAAAAATAAATAAACAAGTAAATAAAAAATCCTGGAGGTTAATTTATTCTCTCTCGATCAACAGCAGCTGCAATAAAAAAAGAACGAAAGAAATGAAGCAATGCTGTGCAAAACGAGCCAAAAGTAATGGAAGCGTAATGACAGCAGGCTGGTGGGGTAAATGAGATGTCACATGAAATCCACTTTTAAATGTAAAGATGAAGTCTCAGACTGTTATATGTTGGTTTCTATCCAAAGAAGGTGTCACGATGTTCTTTATGAGAGCCTCAGTTATTAAAAGTCCCATATTATATAAAGTGAGACATCCATGTGTAGTGTGATTATAGATCAGCTCTAGCTTCTATATTAATACTGTGAAAGTATCAAAGCCTCAGTCCACAGAGAAATGCACACAGCCTGTATTCAGAAACTGAGCCTTAAAACCAGCCGTCAGGACTTCTGGTACTTTGTGATGTCACAACAAAGAAGTCACTGCTCTCAGTCACGCCCCAAGCCCCGCCCTCCTGGACCCACCATCCACCAACCTTGCAGGATTTGGTTTCTCTGAGTGTTTTTACCTGAAATCGGCTATATTTCTATTTGATCAGCCAGAAATCAGTCAGCCAATCAGATGAGAGGCTCAGAGCCTCCTCTCTTCTGATTGGCTCACTGACCTGTTGTCACTAGAGCTCCAGAGAGAAGCCTGAGAGAGGAGATGTAAAACTACACTGAGATGGTTTTTATATCTTCTTATGGATCAACACTTTAAATAAACCACAGGAAAAGTGTAAAATATGAGACCTAAACATCAAAGATCACAGCTTCTGTACATAACTGGTCTTTTGTTGGTACACAGTATTCCTATATCTCAGCAGAGTAGTCAGAAAATATTGAAAATGTCTGTGACAAGTTCTTAAAGCCCAAGATATCATCTTCAGATTGCCCAGGCAACAGTCCAAACCCCAAAAGTACTTAATTTACAACAAGAGAAAACAGAGAAAATCAACAAATCCTCACATTTGAGAGTTTCCAAAGGTTCCAGAAAACGTTTGGCATAATACTGAAGAAATAAACTTGTTAATAATTAATAAATTGTTTGCTAACTTTCAGTTAACAGTGAAAAACGATTAACTAATCACACAGCAGATATCCTTTGCAGACTGGCTGCAGAGATGGAGAGCAGCCCAGCAGACTTTTATTTGGAACGGTGGCACAGATTATTACTGCAGGATGAACAGGGTGTGGTATCACCATTGCCAATTAGCGAGACATTTTGCAGGCTGTAAATGTTGGTGGGTAACGAGGCATAAAACACACTTCAGCTATCTTTGGGGATGAAAGGAGGGGGGGGCGCAGCATTTAGCCTGTTATTAACAGTATGAGTATGAAATGCATCTGCACTTCGGTAACTATAGATTTCACACAGCAGTTTTCACATTGTGTCCTGTAACTGA